AAAATCCTTTGTTGTTTTTTTTTCAAATAATGGATTTTTGATAGAAGTATGGACTTTTTATTTAAATTTGATTTAACCCTTTAGTGAGTGCGTAGGGGTACAAGTACCCCTTACTCATTCACAAGGGGGGCTGCATCTGGGTGCCCCTTTGCTAAAGTGTTACCCTGATGTGAATAAGCCCCCTGCCCGCACCAGGGCTTGTAGGGATGAGGCCCTTGTCCAAAAAGTTCAAATTCAAACTCAAACTCAATGCAAGTCTATGGGGTAGAACTTTAAAAAACAATTGTCCCATTAAGAGGGCTTATATACAAGTTATTGGCCATAAAAAGGGTATGGGGATTCGGGTACTGCCCTGGGCGACATGTATCAATGACATTCATTTTTTTTTTAAACTTGTTTTTAAAGGAGCAGGGATTTTTACATGACCTAAAGGGTAAGAATAAAAATGAAAAATTCCTTTAAATATCGTGCCTGGGGGGTCCCCTTAAACTGCCTGTGAAGTAGCGGATCTATACAATGTATAGAACCTGCTGCAGAAAAAAAGTGACATTTAAAAAGAAAAAAACTTGGATCTTGGAACAAGGTTAGAGATTTTTTTGGATGAATTCTGGTGCCTCTTTTGCAGACGTTGGATGAAAGTAAAATTGGGCCTTTGGTGTTGGCTTTGAAATTCGGCTTTTGGTGTTGGCGGTGCCTTCACACTGTAACCCTTCAGAGTTATTCTTGATGAGTGCAGGGTTGGACCCTGATGTAAAAAATTAAAATTATATAGACCTGTCACACAGGTTTTGAGAAAATGGGCCTTTGGTGTTGGCAATGCCTTCACAACGTAACCCTTCAGAGTTATTCTGGAAGAGTGCAGGATTGGATGACCCGGCTGTACAAATTCTAATTATATATACCTGTCACACAGGTGGGGAAAAAATGGGCCTTTGGTGTTAGCGGTGCCTTTATACCATAACCCTTCAGAGTTATTCTTGAGGAGCGCAGGATTGGACCCTGCTTTAAAAAAATCTAATTATATGCACCTGTCACACAGGTGGCCCAAAAAATGGGCCTTTAGTGTTGGCAGTGCCTTCACACCATAACCCTTCAGAGTTATTCTCGGCAGGATTGGACCATGCTGCAAAAAATTCAAATTATATGCACCTGTTGCATGCAGGTGCGGAAAAAAATGGGCCTTGGGTGTTAATGGTGCAGTACACCGAGAACATTACTTCAAGATAGAATAATCGCCCACAAAGTTAGGCAGCCTAGGCAGTCTTCCAGAGATCCCTGATCCCCAACAAATTTATTTAATGGCATCTGCATCCAGGGATTGATAGCTGCTGCTGATCCAGGACTGATTCATTTTTATAAATGTTAGCCAATCAATTATAGACTGCTATGACTGACTGCAATTATACACTGCAATTATACACTGCAATTATAGACTATGACCAACTGCAATTATAGTCTGCAATTATGGAGTAATACTAGAGTGCTATAGTACACTGATAGAACTCTGATATCGAACTCTGATATCGAACTCTGATGTAGAACTCTGATATAGATTTCTGATATAGAACTCTGATTGAAATCGAATTGAAATCTGATATAACTCTGATAGTGAACTCTGATAGTGAACTCTGATAGAACTCTGATTGGAATCTGATAGAACGCTGATATAACTCTGGTAGTGAACTTTCTCTTTTAACTCTGGCAACACACTATGTAGGGCTGCGTTGTAAGCAACCTTATATATTGTGCTGCTGCTGGACTTAGCAGTGAGCCATGATTGGGCAAAGTCATTGTGACTTTGCCCAATCATGCCTCTAACAGAGTACTGAGCCCTGATTGGGCAAAGTCTTGTTGAGTGGTCGAACAGACCGCCGAACACCCTGATAGTTAGTGTGTTCGGCAAACACATGAACTAGCGTTGTGCGAGTCAAACTCACGTTCGACCCGAACATGCAGCCCATCCCTACTTTCTACCAGCCAGCATCCCCCCACCATCCAGCAAAACTGTCCCTTAGACATGTGCGATTCGTTTCGGAAATGTTTTTTGTACGAATGTTCGTTATTCGGAGTTTCAGATGTATCCGATTTTCTGAATAACAGAAATGACGAATTAAAACGAATCCAAATTTCTGAAAACGAAATTTGTTAGTGAAACACCTGTACCCATTTTTTTTAAAAATAAGCCTTATATTCCATATGTATCAAAACATGAGGGTGGATTAATTAAATACAATAACATCTGGAATCTGATTGTTTAAAATTGTTCCTTCATTAATTTTTTTACATTTGATTGAGTTTTCCGCACTATGTTACCAAATACCTAGAAGTTTTTCCTGGGATTTCCTCATGAGAAAACATCTATAAGTAAATTGGATGAATTCACATTGGCATCATCTGTGTGCATATTTAGTCAGGATGTAGTGGATTAACTAACTGATCCATGGCATTTCATGCATTCATTGGATGTAATTCAAAATAGATGGAATCCTTTTTAAAACAGTGTTGTATTAAGTTCATACCATGACATGTTAGTCTGCAGTGTGCTGGGATGAACACTACACAATGTCGTTAAATGTATAACGTCTCCACATGTTTAATAATCGAAAGCAGTATTGTAAGATAATTAACTTTGTAAATAAATGTTACTCACTACCAATTATGTTAATGTATTCCTATACCCTGTTGTATACATAGTTCATAGAAGAAAAATGTTAAAACTGTCCTGGGTTGTATTTCTACGGTCTTCTGCAGTCACTAAAATGTCTGCACAGCACTGAATGTAGCTTATTCAGTAAAGCAGTGATAATAATGAAGTACAAGTCACAATTACCTATGGCAACCAATCAGAATGCAGAAAACAGTCACATCAATGAAAAATGAAATCTAATTGGTTGCTATGGTTACTCTTTTCCCTTGCCTTATTGAATAAGCCCTCTAGTGTCTACAGCTCCCACATGGCAATGAGCACATTTTTAACATTTTCCCTTAGCACAACTTCAAAACTTGTGCAAGCATAACAGACCATGGCTGGCTTGAGACACTATTACAGTTTTGATGATGTTATTTGCCCTGCCACTCAATCTACATTTTCCAGTATGCAGACATTAAATTGTAATTTGTGGATGCACAAATTATGCATTTGCCCATTTCTACATCATGGAAGCAATATCCATACCTAGACATACTAGAGATGGTAAATCATTGAAGATGCATTGATCATTTGCTGGCACCTAATGCTACTGATAAGAGCATGTGCATCGTATGAATAATAACACTTTTGTTAAACAACAGGGCTTGCTTTAGCACACAGCACACTTGCTTGGCAATGGCTGGTTGACCTATACGTAACAAAATTAAGCAATCAGCTGGAAAAGGAGAGTCCGAAGAATAAGGGGTTTGGAAGTCTAAGCAATGTGCTAATCCTTTCGGCTTCATTAAAGAGAGATACGTCTTCTCCTCCAGCTACAGGACCATCGTTTACTCACATCATAATTATAACACATTGTGCTCTGTAGGGTGTGATATTTCCTGCACTATGTGATAGGTTATTATAATCAGCTTATCAGCAAACACATTGGAGATGGAACTCTAAAAGGGTAATACATAATAAAAGTGATCAAAATAAACAAAATATGATGGCACTTGAAATATGAGATAAAATGTCAGAGTAATCCTAGATGTGACTATTAAATTCTGCAGCCTGACTGAATTGAACTAATGACGGTGATAAGTAGAGCTTAGACATTATAAATAGGTTACATAAATACTGTCTAGCAGTTTTCATTCTTCTCTCCAGTGCTATCCCTTGCTGACAGTTTAAAATGCAAGTGGTACAAAATTTTACTGTTATGTATAAAAAAGGTGTTCATGGGACAATGCGACAATGCCATAATGTTAAAGATTGGTAGTATCCTGAAATGTATATTAAATTTTTTTTACAATATATATATGTTAAAAAAAGTCTATTGTAAAAAAAAAATCATTATTAATTAGTTAATTATATATATA